GCGTTCTCAACAATGTCTATAGAACATAACAAGATAAACAAGAAAATGTGAGACTTTATCTCAGAGGGCCAATAACCAAAATCAGCCGACCAACTGCCTTGTTGCCGGTCCAATAGTTTCTAAGTATTAGGCAGAGTAAAGTATCTGCAATATTTTTCAATAACAGAGTCATGAAATAAGTCATTTTGACCAAGCTTGCTCAGAATTACTCTAAGCGAATATTTGTCCTCTGCCATTCCTGAACTGTCACCAAGGGCCTATTTTATACTAATACGGCCTTTGCACCCGGTTAATAGTATATGTATTAAAATCTTAATGCAACGTTCTTGCGCGTGCTTCAAACAACACGTCTGCACCCACACTTCGAAGATATTTCTTATAATAACTAAACTGCAACGAACGAGTGGATTTTGATCAGGCGACAGGGGAGGCTTGGGGAGAGAGATGAAAACAACGTCATAGGGAGTAGGAGCGAGGTTCCCGTTCTCTCGTCCCAAACCTCCACGTTTTACGCGACTCCAAAACGGCCACCAGATACCCCCCCAAATTATTATTCAACAGGCCCTCCAAGTAAAGAAGCCATTAGTTTACACTCATACCTGTTTAGCTGAGACCGTGTTTGAGCCATGAACCTCGATACCAAATGCCTCGGACAATCGTCTGGCAGGAGTGGAGTTATATTCTCTCCCGCGCTAAAAAGAAAAAAAATAACAGACAAATATTTACCTTGCGCATACCCAGCTGACAAAGAAGAACAGGTTAAGTGTGGGGTCGGTTTTCTTCAAAGGTTGCTAAGCAACGCGAATTCTAATGACGTCAGACTGATGAGATAACTATCAGAGCACTCGAGATTTGTTCGCAGTCTCACTCGGTTCGGTGATTACAGGCAAGAGGAAAGAAATGTCTCCAACAATTTATTTGCATTCTTGTGAAGGTGTAAGTCTGGAACAGAAAATTTAGGCCAGTTTTACTTTTATCAATAGAAATATAACTTACCTTCATTCCGTAATATTCATTAAAAAGTTCCCAAATATGCATTCGCTTGGGAAGAGACGATCTTGTTGTGGGCACAATACACGCCACAAGCGACTTGGACGAGATCAGACGATGATCAACAGTCTGAAAACACAATTATAACAGGGGCATGGATTACGAACATGAGGCAGGAACGACGTGAGAGAGGAAGAAGTTTAAAGGAGCTCACTCACGGTTTGCACATTTTGAAAAGTTTAGCCTAAATTTTTCAAATGCGTCGTTTGCAATCCATGTCAATCTTCGCCATCCTTGACCATCCTTGTTCCTTTAGGGTTTATTATTATCTCTTTGATGTTTTCCTATCTTACAAAACTATTATTTTCAAGTTTCCTTCCATTTAAGAGATTTTGTACGTGGCCCAAAAAAAAAAGACAAAACACCGCGACTGAGCCCCTTTAATCAGTCTCGAACACGAAAGTATACGTAGTTAGAGAGGGAGAGGAACAAGAAAGTACATTACTTGCAAACAATTTCGGACGATTTTAATTCCGGGCAAAAAAGATGTCCGAAAATAAAACCGTCCGAAATTTTAAGGGTCGGAAATATTGACAGCACATAAATTTTCAAGTACCTCCAAATCTCTTAGTTTCCTTTATGGAGCGAACTCTAGTTGAGACAATAGATTCGAATGAAATGAATTTTGAAATTTGTGTTAATTTCTAGTCCGTGTATCTGTAAAACCGTGAGGGTGCAGTAAACCTATCATTTTCACAGATGCTGTTTTAGTCTAATTCGTAGGCGTAAATTTACATTAGCTCTGTTTCAGCAAAGTATCCGAAATTTTGGTCCAAACTTTGTCCGAAATGGGATTAAAGGTGACCGAACTGAAATTTTTTGCAAGTAATGTAGACCAGATTGTGAGTATTTCAATCGTCGCTGTGAACTCACCCTTACTAATCCATGCTGAAAGAGAGCCTTCAAAGCCATGGCTAAGTCTTTTCTCACAACATTTACCAGTTCAGCGTCTCTGGCGTAATCAAACTATTATGAACATACACACAAGGAATAAATGAAAATCTACATGATTAAAATTAATCTTCTCCTTACTAATTGTCCTACTCATTGTTGACTTGTTGTGTTTTGTGGTTGTGAGAATTTGGTAGTACATCAAGACGATCTTTCTTCGCTGACCAATGTCTTTAATCTCATTACCTCTCTGCTTGACAAGGTATAGGTAAAATGAAGGAGAAATTAAACTTCCATATTAACGGATTTGCTCTTACTTCTTCTCATAACTAAAACTTGGAAGCTAGCGACTGGAGAATAGCCGATTTTTCAGTTAAAACTATCGTCTAAATGGAAAAATATTGAATATAGACCATACAACAAGGAAATGATTCCTTTAACTTTTAATAACACCATATGAACGTGCCAGAAATCTAATTCAATATGCATCTTGTCCGATATAACATCGTTCCAGTCGTTCTCAAACCTAGAGGCCAACAGAATTGTGCCACAACCAAGGAATGTGCTTCAATCTGACTGCTACATGTAGAATCCACTGACTGTTGGCTATCAGATACTGTGCCTTTCTGAAAAGTCTGACTCTACAGGTCTTAAACTGATAATTTGATTTATTAATCATTTACTGACAAATTTCTAAGACTACTTCGCATTTTTCTCCTGGTTACCAACTTTTGTATAGCGAGCCGTAACTGCTCCATTGGCCATTCCAAAATTAGTAAGCCAACGGTGTTCGTGCCTGTTTTTCCTCCCTAATTATCCTTATTACCAAGTCCTTTCTCTTACCCTATCACTGCTTTCTGACAGAGTAGTGTCGGCGGAAGACATGGAACTGGTACGTATCCGCGTCCTTCTTTGCACGACCGTCGGAGACTGAGGCGAATTAGGCCCAGACTCCTCTCCTTCGCTGGGCGGCTCGCGTGACTTTATATCAATGATTTTTAGAACAGCTTGTTGCAGCTGAGCCAGATGTCCGCTGAAAACAAACGACGACAAAGTACATAAATAGGAAGTTTAGGCGAAGGTTCCTCACAGAGTGTTTGCCATGAATATTGTAATCGGTTAAGGTTATCAACCTCACTTACTCTCCACATAACAAAGAACGTGAACACTAGCACATATATGTAGATTGCGAGAAAAAAAAAAACTTCTAACAAAATGGAAGCTACATTTATTATTTCCAGTAACATAATCCATGAAACCGTTCTACCAGAAACGTTCGAAGACCTGTAAGAAAAATTCGGCTCAAATAGGAGTTAAAGAAATTCCAGAAAAAGTTATCAACAGAGATTTTCTTACAAGTATCCTGGTGCAGCCACAGAAGTTGCTTTCTTTATAATCTGGTCTTGAATCTGTTTTCCAGTACAGCCAAACTGACTAAAAAATACACAGTAAAAACGACACTGTCAGCTAAAAAACGACGTATACACAAGACTTTTGAGAATAAAACGTACGATTGCTGGTTAGCCCCAGTTCCCCAACATTTTTGTTAGGTTGCCTAACAGTTTGACTGGGGTCATTTTAGGTTCCTGGTTGGAGACAAGCACCCTTCTTTTGCGGAAGTTTTCAAATTTCCTCTCCTGGACCCTCATGTTCCTCCACACATCATAATCAATGTCGCATTTATTTTACAAAAAAAAAAAATTACAATTCATTTGGTTTGGTAATCAGTCAGCCGAGAAACAAATTCCACAATGTTGACCTCACCTGATTGCAAACAACTGTAAAATTGCAAGCGCTCTTTTGATAATTGCCATGCTTGCATCTCGTATTTTCTGCTTGGGGGACAAAAAGAAGCAGAATAGAATGAGCTTACCTATTTGAGGTTAATCAATCAATAAATCAGTAAATTAACCATGGATTGAGCAATCAATAGATCAATAATAAGAATAGAATAGAATCAGTGTAGAATCAATACATATATATATATCAATTAATTTCTCGTTCTCTCAGTCTATCAACCTCACATTTTAAGACAACCTTCTCCAACCATGTTCTCGTAGTTGTATGAGCAATAATTAGTTTAATGACTGAGACTGAGATAACAATAAATGTCTTTATATACAAGTATCAGTGGATTTAGCATTGTTGTCCTGATTGTACACAACCAAATCAGTGGCCAGTTTGCTAGAACGTCAGTGGCTTCTGTGAATTGTAACATTTAGTAGAACACCCAACAGTGACAGTTACTATGAAACTGCACAAAGCTCATTCATACCTTACTGCGGATCTCATCAGGTGTTTCTGGGATAGGCGACACATGAAGACAGCACCCATTCCCGTCGTCACTGCCAGACATGTCCTCTGTTAAGCTGTAGTCACATGCGTAATCCAGCTCATTAACACTGTCCGATGAATATTCCACTGATCTATGGGAGCCACCTTTACCCTATGCAGAACAACAAAAAAGAAGTGAATGCACAATCTTCACTTCACAATCAAGAGTTTGTTCTACTCAGACATTCAGCAATACAAGTTCTAGGAGTAAGTTGAGTACTTTAAATCATGTACGACTGGGTATTCTCAAAAGTTATTATTGCATTTTATTATTGAGCGGGGGGGGGGGGGGGG